TCAATACATGTGAGGAAGTTTCATAACCAATCACATGTGGCTGAATGCTCTTCCCATGAGATGCCAGGGTACTTGAAGTCACCCATGATGACTGTGCACCAAGAATTGTAAGAATCCACGTGAAGAGTTTATTCCAGAAGACCCTGGGGCTCAGCTTGAGTGACAACTGTTTCCCAAACAACATCATGTTTGGTGCCTGGATGGGGTGTAGGGGAGGTGGAACCCCAGGCCATCAACCCATTGTGACATGAGTAGACCCGATAAGACAGGAAATGATCGTATACAACTGGACCCTCCCCTTTTCTTTTGACATGAAAGGCGTGGCAGACGAGTTGGAGAGGGTAACTCTGGGTAATCACTAATAGCAGACCTCAACAGCCAGCTCCACTACACCTTTGAACTGCTGGCAACACTCCTACTAATGCAGCCCAGTATGCCATTAGCTTTCTTTGCAACAAGGGCACACTGTTGGCTCATATTCAGCTTAATGTCCACTGTAGGCCCCAGATCCTTTTCTGCAAAGCTGATCCTTAGCCAGTTAGTACCCAGTAAGGGTGTGCAAAATGGACTGTATTTGATTGAGATTCAGCCTGAATCAGGGGACAGTGATTCAGTTCATTGATTTGGATCACTGTCCCAATTTGATTCGGCTGAATCCAAAGATTCAATGCTGATCCAGAGAATCAGTGATTTGGCCACAGACACAGTTTAAATGTTTTTTCTATATACCTTGAGGTACCAGATGTGGCTCGTGAACGCTGAGATGGTGGGGCAGATGGAGCATGCCACAGGAGTGTAGTGGGGGAGGGGCCATGTCCTCAGTGGTGGACCTGGAAGTGGACTGGAAGTACTTCCGGTCCACTTCTGGGTCCATCATCAAGCACATGGGAGACCCCTCCCCTGCACTGCCCTGGCTCAGCAATCATCTGTAGGGAGACCCCAGGTGCCCCCCCAGGCCCAGGAGGCACCAGTCGCTAAGCCAGGGGAGCACAGGAAGGGGCCCCCTGTGTGCTCCCTGGAGGACACAGAAGTAGACTGGAAGTGCTTCTGGTCCACTTCCAGGTTCACCACTGAGCATGCTGGGGACCCCCCGCCCATGATCCCATGGGACGCTCCATCTGCCCCAGCACCTCAGCTTTCATGAGCCACCTGATACTTTGAGGTATGTAGAAAAATATTTAAAGCTGTGTCTATATCTGGATCATTGAATCTCTCCAAATCAATTTGGAGACTTCCGATTTGATTTAGAGAAATTTAAAGGGTCTTGAATCGGGCCAAATCTCTGCCAAATTGAATCAGCAACTGAAGCTTCGCACAGCCCTAGTACCCTGCCTATACCAGTACATGGGATGGTTCCTTCCTAATTGCAGGATTTTGAACTTGTCCTTATTGAACCTCAAGAGATTTCTTCTGGTCCGATCCTCCACTTTGTCAAGGTCTCTCTGAATCCTACCCCTACCCTCCAGTATATCTACTACTCTCCCCAGTTTGATGTCATCTGCAAACATGCTGATCATGCACTCCATCCTATCCCATTTCACATAATGTCTATCACTTAGGCTAGGGGCAGAAGTTACATATAAACTGGTTTAAGTGATCAGAAACTGGTTTAAATCTGTAAGAGAACAGAAGCTCAGTGCATATTAACCAGTTTCAAAATGGCTGAAATTGGTTTAATATAAATCTGGTTGAATGTAGTATCAGGCTTAACTGATCTCGGTCAAACAAGTTTATAAAACTTCTGTCTTAGATACCTTCCTGGTTCAAGTTCAATCACAGTCCCCCAGCATCCCAGCATGTTTTCTAGCACTGGGCTGTGCTCCAGCAGAGAAGAGTTGGTGGAGGGAGGCACAGGCTGCCCCCCCGCACAGGCTGCCCCCCCGCACAGGCAAACCCTGGCTGGGGTCTGGGATCTGGGGCCAGGGAGGTAGGATTAAAACCCCTTCCTCTTCCCCTGCCCTAGTGCTAAACTTACCAAAACTTACTGCTAGCTATGACTGTGGACTACAAATCCCAGCAATACCTGGAAGCAGGGAGAGGAAGTGATGAGCAACCCTGGAGAGTTCCACTCCTGTGATTCTGGACTGCAAATCCCAGAGACTTTGGAAACAGCAGGAAGAGGATGCGAACACACAGCCCATGCTGGCTGCATTCTGGAGAGATGTATTCTCACACGCCCCCAGCTTCTGGCCTGAGCCAAAGCAGGCATGTGGCTGCATTTCCTAAATCAAAAGTAAATGTTTGTCCAGTTGTTTCTCAGTTTAATCTCTGCATTTTAAGCTAACCTGCAAAAACTGAATCAATTCAGCCTTGGGCTTTTTGACTGTCTGTACTTAGCCCTAATATCCTGTGTATAACTGTGTTAAGGACAGGTTGCCTAATATCCTGTGTATAACTGTGTTAAGGATAGGTTGCAAATCTACTGAAATGAAAAGTTTTTTTTATTGAGGTATGCTATGGAAGCTGCATATAGTGTTAGTTCAATGCTATGTATTTATTTAAAATTATATGTCTAATAGTGCCATGAAGCGTTTGGATACTTTTGCAAATTTCTTTTAAAAAGTTTTGTGGGACACCTTCCAGGTGCAATAGTCTTGTCCATTAAGATGTTCTGGTTCATCAGCAGAATATCAGGTAGATAATGCCCCTAAATCTCACTAAAAAGCTCTTTTACTAAAGTTACACTGAGTCTTCCAGAGCATTCAATGAATTAAAAGACAGTGTTGAGTTTACTAATATTAAGCCTATATACTGAGACAGACAAGCTATGAACTGTCCAATACATTAAGCATGGCAAGTCTCCAAATAAGCTCTTCAAGCTTATGAGCTCTCATACAATTTACATATGCAAAGCTATTCAGGCTACATTAAGAGCTATTTAGTAGCAACAGATAAAATATCAAAATCTCTGTCTTATTTTACTCTCAGTCCTAAACAATGTTAAAATACATTAAAATGATGCTGGGATTAAAACCAAGAAAATAATGCCACTATCATCATGCTACTTTAGAATCCCCCCAGTTGCACCTAAGTTAACAGTGTCTATACAACCAAAGAGAGATTTTGCTTTTGATTCACAGAGAGTAAGTTGATCTACAGCACTAACATATCTTGCAGTATGACCCTTCCATTCCATATTCCAAAAATAAATACATTGGGAATGGACAAATACCAAGAAAAGAGTCTCCTAAATTTTTATTTAAACTGTACGTTAACAGCCTGTTTTTAAGAAAAAGCCTCCATATTTGCATATATACTTAAGGGAAAATACATAAAAGACAGGTGAAGCATTTGCTAAAAGGTTCAGTCAAACACTTAAACATATAAATACTATTGTTTGCCTGCAACTTATTGGAAAAGCAAAATGATAGCTGCAAATTTGGAGAATAGACTGAGGCCCTTAGAAAAGGGATCTAGTTTTGCCACACTCTTACCTTCCTCTCATGTGCCAGCATAAAATTCTGGACTCTGGTCCTTAGCCATTGCCTTGTAGAAATAATTTTTAAACACCTTTAGGATAGTGAGTACTATGGCAAGGTACAGGCTTTAACCAAACATCAGAACTAAACACCCCTAAAGGTCATTTTTTGCTTTGTGGGATAAGGAATATAGCTCCAAATTCCTTAATCTTAATATTTCATGGACAATTCTTTCCATATTAGAGTAAATCAGAATACCACATCTGATCATTCACTTTCTATCTGCCCACTACAATAAAGTCTCCTGGTAATTGAAACACAGCCAATTGTTAATAGCACATAGCAGGATACAAAAAACATTACAGTTGAAACAGCAGGAGAAGCTTGCAGGAAATAGAAATAAAACCCTAGGTAGGAATTAGGTTTGAACATTAGGGAAAAAAAGCCTATGCAGACTCTTCCAAATACTTCCCCAGAGATTTAATAAACACAAGGCATCAAGTCCTCAGGCATTTGTCCCTCATTGAAAACATGACACTACAATGATCTATTACAGTGGTACCCAACCTTTTTTCCCAGCAGACCAGGATGCTTACAAGTTACATTTTTTCACATGATCTGACCCCTGAAAGTGTTCTACAGCCATGACACAACACACGTGCACAGCTGCAGATTGCTCTTAGTCATGCAACAAAAATAACCCTCAATAAATCAACTATTAGCTGGAGGAAATCTAGAGCAAAGCACCTTAGGGAACTTCTGTTCAAGTTCTGTCAAGGGTTAATATTTTGCACGTGTGGGGCTGGGCTGGGAAAGGGGCAGCACACAGTTGGCTGGGCTTTGCTAAGTCTGGAGCTGGAGGTGGGACCAGGGTGGAAGCTCCATGAGTTAGAGTGCCCCCCTAAGCTTCTCTAGGCACCATAAATGAGCAGTGCCTCGTCTGTCCATGGGCTGGTTTCAATCAGTGGTCCAATCTGACACCTGAAGTGGGCCTGGCAGGCGCTATACAGCTGTGTGGTGAGGGGTAGATGGGGAGGCCCAACTTGCCTCAAAGGGAGAAGGGATCATGGCCTGGAGAAAAAGGGCTTGAACAGGCACTACAGAGGGAAAGGAGACATGGCCCAGCCCCAGCCCAGCCCTGCAAATGGGAAGGGGACATGTCCTGTTTCTGACATGCAGGACCTGAGGGTTGGGAATTGGCAGTGTGGGAGGGTGGCCATATTAACTGCCGCTGCTCCCCTACTGCCAAATTTCCTGACCCATGAAGAGCCCTGTGAGCCAAATGCCATGGCTTCACAGGTTGAATTTGGCCCACAGGCTGGAGGTTGAGCACCCCTGCTCTATTACAATAATAGGACATTCACAATACTGATGTGTGTAACTTGAGTGTGCCTTCTTATTGATGTCTCATATTGCTAAGGGTCCTCCATAAAAGGGAAACCCCATACATTACAAATGCTTCTCAGCTATTACTTTAACTGAAAACAGACTTAACTTGTCAAAATCTTTCCATTTACATCTTTAGCTCATTTGTTATAGTAGTTATATACATTGCAGTTATATATTACTGACTCCTCTTACCTTTTTATTCACTTTGACAATTTAAAATGTAGGCTTCTGTAAAATATGCTTATCATTATCTGCTAATAATAAGAAAAAACACAAGTTAGAGTGGTAAAGTCAATAATATGCTTGAGTACAAGTTTCTGTTTTAAGGTCATCCACTGCCAATGTAAAACAGATGCAAAATTTCATTTTGGGATAGATTACATATTTATACACTATAAAGAGGGATGTTTACATTGGGATAGAACAAGGAGACATTAGAAGGGTGATTAATCTTGTTTGCCACAAGTTGCATACTTTGCCCAAAGCATGGATTGTACATGGTTTAGAGTAGAGTGCTACCTCTTTGGTTCATCTAAATATGAATTAGGAAATCTGACCATCACTGATGAGTTAAAAAATAAATAAATAAATGAACAGAACAGTTCCCCTATTACTGAGTTTCCAGATGCAGGGAATAAAATTCTGGCCTCACAGAAGTAATTTGGAGGTTTACCATGATCTTAAATGGAGCTAAGATTTTCCCCATAGATCTTCTGTTACACTAGAAGAGCAAAGAAACATTATAGCCCACTTTCACAATGTGTCTTTATGGGAAAGGATTATCTTTGTTCTTGACACACAAAGTGCATCTGTTGTAATATTATTCCCATTGTATTTAATGCTTGAAATATGAAAAGGTCTTTTCTTTTCCATTTTTTTTAAGATGGGCTTTTTCCCTCAACTGTTTGTTCAGATGTAGCTCCCATTTCACATCTAAGCAGGGCTTCAGGTGAATCAAAATGGACAGATATGGCAGCCCTAAAGTATTATATGAAAATCTTATTGTATTAGTCATTTTTCCCGTCATTTTGCATTAGTGTCATATTAATCTAATGCAATACTAACATGATACTAAAATGTTAGCATATTATAGATTATTCAGTGTGTCAAGTTCATACTTGATTGTATTATTCTGTAGTATATATTTTTTCAAGAGAAAAAAAATCCCTGAAACTGCAGGATTTTAACACAAAACATGAGGGTGTGAAATGTGAAGGATTCTTATAATTGTTTCAAAAGAGGAATTAGCAACTCTTTTGCTAAATGAAATAGCCTAATTATATGTGAGCATCCAATATAATAAACCAATCTATGTATCTTTAGCAGCAGCATAGTGACATGGCCAGGTGCCTGGGGCACCGGGGCAGCAGCAGTTTCTGGTTGCCACCATAGCACCAGCACGATTGCACAGTTGCCAATGGCAGTCATTTTTTTTCACCACCACTCCCCTCCCCAACCTGGCACCCAGCATGGTTGTCATGGTTGCCCTGCCATAGTTACACCACCATTTATGAGTGCAAACACAGGCATTCCTTTTTTGCTTTGTACAGGGAGAAATTCAAATTATACTTTAACTGAAGAATAAACTCCAAACAAGAAGTGTCTTCTACTTGACTCCTTCCTGTCATAGAAAAAAAGTATGTTGACATTCTTTTAGAGTGCTCTACTAGAAAACATCACATTTGGTAACAGAAAATAACACAGAGCTTAACCAATACTGTTGAGTACAAAACCCAGAATTAAGCAGGAAGGCAAGCATCAAACTGGTGTACCACATGAAAGATTGTTGTGATAGAGTTCTCCTGGTCAACTTCTAAAAGTTCTGGTATTTATTTAGACAAGAAAGCTGGCACAGAATTTATTCTGGTAGTAATTCCCATCTTGAATTATCTGATCGTCAAATAGAAACAAAAAATCCCAAGAAGTCTATTAACTCAAAAGTTCCTGAATACTTACTGTTTCTCAATGCTTATGGTAAAGAATTAGTTAAGAGTTATGAAAAGCTGGGATTCTAATTATTCAGTTCATGAATTGCCATATCACACCCATAAACTTAAGAATTTTTAGGGTGTTTGGCTGCTATACTGATTTTTTTTGGATGACATTCTCCCTCTTCATGTAATATATAGTAATCATTGGGCATGTCTACACATGCATTTACAGTGGCTTAAAGTTACTGCTCAGTAAATCACTGCACAGTAAGTGGGAATAGACCAGCATCTACATGCGCAGGCATTAAAGAGCATTAATGCTGTGAGTGGACTGACTTGGAACTAAAGTTAATCCCAAGTTAGTCCACATACACAGTGTTACTGTGCAGTAAGATATCCACATGTGCATTAATGTGCAGTAACTAATCAGGCATAAATTTGATACCTGCGTGACGTGCGCACAGTCTTACCTCCACTTCATAAGTTATTTAGAAAGTTATTTTCTCTTAATGTCACACGTATATATTTACCCAAGTTGCTGTTTTTACAAACAGTCACGTTACTATAGTATTTAGAGTTCCTAACTAAGGTAAAATCCTATTGCACTGTGTATACATTGAGAGAAGTCCCAACACTTCAGGTAAAACAAAGCATAGGAGCAAGTAAATATTCTTATCCCCAATTTTACATATGGCGTAACTGAAGCACAGAGAGATTAGGTGTATATCTACACTCTGCTCTAAGTGAGCCTTGACACACCTCTAAGTAATAAGCCCTGCCCACTTGCACCCATTCTGTGCCCGCACAAGCCCATCAATTTGAGTAAATGGTTTAGAGCAGCCCTAACCATGCTTCCCAGGAGAACTGAGGTATAACTGCACATGACAGAACTGAAATATATCTGCGCATGTCTACACATTCATTAATGCACTGTAATTATGGCTCATTAAGTTTAGTACCTGTAATGAGAGAGACTAAGTTAATGCACCATCAGTGGTGACGCATAGGGGGTACACCCCCTGAGATGGCCGGTGCACCTCCTCACAGCCAGTGTTCCTGGGAAGGGGGAGTGGCAGGTGAGAGCACTGGTGCCTCCCCTGAGAGCGCTGACCAGGGAGTGGGGGTGCCAGGAGAAGTGGTCCCCCCCCACAGCCAATCATGCTCACATGGAAGTGCCAGTGGTGTGCCGCTGCCACTTGCGGGTTGGTGGAACTGGCCACAGGGAGACTCCTCCCTCCCGATTCAGCAGAATCAGCTGTGGGGGACTCCCCCCACCCCCGGTCTGCAGGATTGGCTGCAGGCCCTCCCCCCTGGTTGCTGACTGTCCGCTGGGGGAGCAAATGCTCCCCCTGACTCAGGAGGCACCAGTCCCACTGTGCATTTTTTTTAATTTTTTTGTGCTGTTGCTGTGCATTACACTAAATCTACTGTGCACTAACACATTAGCACAGGCTTTGCCCACCATGCTAATGCACAGTAGAACTGGTTTTCTGCACATTAATGTCATGTGTAGATGCACCCAGTGAGAGTCAATCTGAGCCATCTAATTTCTCAGAGTGGGCCTGGGAGTAGGCATGAATTATTTCTTGGAGACATACCCTGGCTCACTCAAGAGGCAATGTAAACATTCCATAAGGGCCTTATGCGAGGTCACATGAGTCTCTGGAAATACTGGTCATTTAAATGAATCTAGTGCTTTAACTAAAAGTTAAAGTCCTTACATTGTAACAATTTAAAAACTGAAAAGATTTTGAAGATACATTACAAGAGTATGTGTTCACCTCAAACATTTGAGACCTCTAACAATGACCTTCCTTGCAATTTCTGCTATTAACCATTCTTGACTTGGCAGATATCAGCATAAACCATTTTACAGCACAAATCCTTTGCAGGACATGCATTATTAGCATTTGTACCTGTCTCCATGCATAAAAATCCAGCCCAGTATGTGTAAAAAGTAAACTATGCATATACAATTGCATGTGCCATTTTCTATCTACCCACAGGGATTTTGCACAAAGCATTGTTCATATATATTGCGAGAATAGGCAATGAGATGTGGCCAAAAAAATTCTGTTTTTCTTTAGAGGCTCTTAAGGAAGTTTTTATATTGTCTACCTTTAGTGAAAAGCTTGCAGATAAAGTTTTAGCCTAAGATCTGCATACCCTTGCTTTTGTGTGCTCAGCTCAAGACACAAAATATCAGTTTTTATATAATCAGTGAGGGAAGATGGGATTCTAGTTAATGTCATTTTCATGTACTGACTGAACTATAAGCATGTGATTTGAAAAGCAGAGTTCCATAGCATTTGGATAAATATTTAAAAGCTTTTTACAGCACTCTGTAAATCAAATTAAAAACAGATTTGATCAAACTGCCATCTGCTGGGGAGGCCTGGCATTTAACAGAAAGGAACAAGATATCCACATCTGTGTTTAAAAATGTTATAACTAGATATGAGAAAATCATCTTATTTATACTAAATATGTTTGCAGCCAGATTTGAAATGAGAAGAAGCCTGTGTCTCAGAAGAAACACTGTCAGCAGTAGCAGACTAAAGCCAGTGCACCTGTACAGACATATAGGGCACATCCAGATGATCACGCACATGTGGTATGAGGTACCGCAGCCACCACACATGCAGGTGTTCCCCACAATGCTAATCTGCAGTATTGTGGGGTGGGGTCTGGTATTGGGAGATCCTGATATCAAAAAGACCTACACTAGAAAAAAGCAAGGCAGCACACATGGCGGCAGTGTGCGTTGCCTGAAACCAGAGCCTGGCTGGCCAGAACCATGATCTGGCTGCCAGTCAGGCTCCCTGCTTTTGGACTGCTGCTGCTAGAACCCTGGGAAGCCCCCAGGGCACCAGGCAAGGCTGCTGGAGTCAGCACAGGTGCTGGCCCCAGCCTACCCTACCCCACCTGAGACAACTTGCACTGGGTTAGAGCCTACATGCATGGGTGTTCCCTGGGAACAAGTAGCAGTGATGCAACTATGTGCTGTTGCTATTTGTCCCAAGGGAAATGCACATGTATGCTCATCTGGACATGCCCACAGCGACCACAACATTCACCTACACATCCAAAACATATCCAACTTGTTGGGCCCAGTTCAGTGACAGTACGTTCCCATCTCCAGATCAGTTTTCTGACCATGCAACAGAATCTGTATTGACAAAAACATCCAGTCATAAGAATGCATTACTTACTAGAAGATTGTACTATGGACCACCTGATCAGGAAAAAGATTAAGTAGACAATGGTGAGAGGAACTTAAAAAGTTAATAAAGACTAATAAAAGAGTAAAAATGGATGACTTC